TACCACATGAAGGTAGAAGTGGGTTGTGTTGAGTGAGTAAGCTGCCCACGCTAGGTCCAACTTACCGTGTGTGAAACACTTTATTGCCACATGTGCCCTGAGCGTTAGTGATACACTATGCGGAGGGAAGGCTTAACGTGGCGTCAAATGAAATGAAATCTAATTAATTGATCGGAAATGCAAATTTTTAGGACGCCTCCTATTTCTTGACGTGAACTGAGGACACAAATTTAATCTCTAGGAATCCTTAGCAGATAAAGTGGCATCAAATTGCAAAAAAGTTAAAGCTTTGGTTCTAATAGAGTGCTTAACGATACAGCTTTCTTTAACCGTCAATAGTTGACCAAAAATAATTCTTAAAAGGCTTTATTCGTCGAACAGGTTGGTTAAACATTTAGTTGTAAGAGCCAGTTAATTTCAAAACTCAAACTCATTTATCTGCCCATGTGGCAAGTGTTGTAAGTTGAGTTGAAGCAGAAGAGCAAATCCAACTCTCATTAGAGGACGATATTAATGAAACATTATCGACAATTTGTAAATGCTAGAGACTACAAAACACATGCCTCCATACCCTCCTAATAGTAAAAGCAAAACTGTATTCGTTAACTGCTTCGTTTAGACTCAATCTGAAAGATCTTGATCATCCAAATCAAATTACTGTGATTTCAAACAGACACATATTTACAGTGATATACGGGCGTTCACTGATCGGTTGCACGACTCACTACTCCTGTTGTGTTTTGGGCTCGCTCTCCGGTCGAGTCAGCAAATGTTCAACGGCTAGCATCTAGTAGCTCAAAAAATACCGACTTATACAACAGAGACTGGAATCAATCAGCCTTGTCTTACGAGATCGATGGTATTAATTTAGTTCATTAGCTAAATTTTTTTTGTTTTAGTTTATTTTTTATTTAATTAATCTTATTTTAGCGTATAATAGTTAGTTAAGTATATTTATCTAACGTTGGCTGTATCAAACTAATACAACTAAAAGTAACCACAGGACTAGGGACTAGGGGCTTTTAAGGTGGGCAGCCAACTTGACTGTTACCACATTGTATATAGTAAGGGTGTTATGTCATACTCCCGACATGGGCACTAGCTAAAAGCCCGGACAATAGATAGCGCTTACCGATCGCGGTACGCGGTGACTTGGGACGCATACTTTAGGCCCCAACCAGCAGCCGAACAGCGGTTATTACAATGACTTACGAAGATACAGGAGAACGAAGAGACCATTTCTGGCTTCGTTGCCATCATAGGCCAGCCGTACGCAACCCCAAGCGTCTCAGTAACCGAGGATTAAACCCGCAACATGTTGTTTACAAGCCAAATTTCCTTACCCCTGAGTCACGGGTTCGTTTTCTTGTCTGCTGGGATCGAGTATATCCATGGTTCCTTTGAATTTTCTCGCAATGCTATTCTGCCTTTAACACACCAGTCACTGTGTGGCAACTCGCAGGGCCCGATACTTTTTCCCAATTCGAAACGAGACGATAATTTTTAGTAAAGGCATCGATGAGGGCCACACTCACACTGACAATATACTCGATCGAAACCCAGGGACGCACAAGTACATGGCTCAATGGTTAAGGCGTTAAACGTCTTAGCAACAGATCGAAAGTGTGATCCCCGGGTGTCGCAACACCTGGGGCTGGACATGACTGACCAACGTCGACTTATATATCAGTAATGGTCATTCTAGTCTCCCTTGCCTTTAACCTACAAGCTGCATGGGCACGCTGGAAGCGTTCATGTCTTGGCGTTGTAGATTAAGGGCGTTTTTGACTGCAAATCACGCTTTTAGTTTTGGCCGCTGTGATTCGATTTGCTTCATATATGTTTACTTTCCATTTTACTGCTCTTCCGCAGGCCGATAGACCAGGGGCGATGTCCTCCCAGGTCACTTCGGAAATTTCTTCAAGGTGTCCTTGTAAAGTCGTCTTTATCTTTCTTAAGGGTGAGCATTCGTAGCGACATTTCCCTCGAAGAGTCACTCGAGTAAGCACTCGACGTCCCTACTCTCGAGACGGTCGCTCCATCGTTGTTGCAATTGTCGCAACTTAGGGTGGATGCCGAGTACTCGGATCCGTCACCCGAACCTCCGTATCTGGAGTACCCTCCTGCCATCTCAACTTAAGTATTCTGCAGGGACAGTCGAGATGATATTGGTTGCATTTTATGGCTTAGTTCAAGTATACAGTCCAGTTCTCCGTTCCATACAGAAGTAATGTCGCTACTACGGCCTTGGACATCTTCAGCTTATTGTTCAGTTGAAGGAGGTCCGTTTCCATAAAGCGGCCTGCGGCCGGCCAAAGGCCTATCTGACTTTGGAGATTCGTTGCGAAACATCGTCGTCAATTTGTACGCTGCGTGA